ATTTTGCTTTGTCTCCCTTCGTCTCCCCTTGTCTCCCATGGCGCGTCTGGATACTGGGCTGAGATCACTTTGCTTTGTTTCCCCCTTGTCTCCCATTGCGTGTCTGGATGCTGGGCTGGGATCACTTTGCTTGTCTCTCCTTGTCTCCCACGGCATGTCTGGATGCTGGTCAGAGATGATTTTGGTTTGTCTCCCTTCGTATCCCTTCTATCTTTCCTTGTCTCCCCTTGCCTCCCATGACATGTCTGGATGCTGGGCTGACATGATTTTGCTTTCTCTCCCTTTGTCTTCCTTCATCTCCTTTTGTCTCCCCTTGTCCTGGATGTTTTGATGTTGACTTGAGAATTTTGACTGTAGATACGTCATATTGTTTTTGCTTTGCGGAGAATCAAATCTGCAATGGGCCCCAGACTGCCGCTGCTGTTTGGGGTCGATACTGGTGCAATTTTGTTTCATAGGCATAGTGCCTGTCTAGATGTATCAAATGTCTTCTACACCCGTGTAGCGTTCCAGCTGTAACGAATCTTTTGTTACTGTGTTGAAGGGAGTGTCCAACGTCAGCAGAGCTGCAGGTAGCTGCTACGTTTGCTCTGGAGGAGCCAGCGGCGCTTCATTTAAACACAAGGCAAAGGGCAAAGAGGAATAAACGTTTGGGCGATTTAAGTGAATTCTTGGAACGCATCCTACTAGTACAACATTCCTGCTTCCGTTTAAACATCAACAGATATTCACCATCCCTTATTCGCTTGCGTTGATGCAATCGATTGGTGTTCATTTTGGTTGCAATGGTTCGATGCTGCATCCTTTCACATGAGCCACAGAGCGTGGCGTGGATGATCCTCGCAGAAAGGGGTGTCCAAACCCCAAATAATATAAACACCAGGTTGTAGGGCTCTGAAAAGGACACCGGAAAAGAGATTATTTGAATTTCTAGGCTGGGACGGGATGCCCGTCCCCACCTGAAAGCGGCTTCGCCCCGCCAAAACGTCGAATATCATGCATTCGAGTCGCTGGCCCGGCAAGCCAGTGCTGAGCAGGAGCTGGCGAGGGTGGCGATGCTTGGAAGGAAAAGGTCGGGGCATTCTTCCGAGAAGTTGAAAGCTCAACAACACCTGAGTAATGTATATATAGAAGCGTGATGACAAAAAAAGGACAGTGATTGTGTAGCACCTCTTCACCTGCGAGGTTTTATTCATCAAGATTCTACATCAGGAGGTGATCAATGTAAGTGGTGCCCAGCAACGAAAACTGGCTTAGGGACCTCTCCCTCTTCTTTTACAAACAGGGTAGACTTGCACTTTCAGATGAATGAGTGTACCCCACAAAGAACTGAGTAAACTCTTTTTTGGAGACACCCTAGTTCAACTGAGTGATTCGTTCTGTTGAAGGAGGACAGTGTGCTACATTGCACAAGGAGACATACTTACTAGGGCTTCTGGGCCCCACAAATACCAGGCTTGAAGCCCAGCTCAGTTGGATCAGTCGAAATCCTGTTCCGTTCGCATGGAGGTCCATGCAACCAGTCGTTCCGGGCCAGCTAAACTACACTCCCGAAGACTAACATAGACCCTGACAATGGTCCCATGGAAGACTATTTTCCTCTACCAACCAGGGGTTTTGAGGTTCCATGTTAGTCTTCCAGGGTGTAGCCTGTGACCTGTATCAAGTTTGGAAAGGAACCACTGCTTGCTCCCTTGCTCTCTTCCTGTGTCCTCCCAAAAGACTGAAGCACTGCATCCTTGGCGCGGCATCCGCTCGGCTCTGCGCGCCATCTGTTCTCTGCGCTTTTCAAGCGTGGCAAGGAGTGGAAAGAGAGCAAGGTCTTGGCGAGGAAAGGGACTTGGTCTTCCAAAGTCGGCAGCATCGGGCGACCTGGCGAAGATTCACCAGGTGGGTGGGGAAGGGTGGGGGAGATCCTGCATCCGACTGCATCCGATGTGGGTGGTGGAGACCAACAAGGTCGGTTGCCTTTTTGTTGCACATCGGGTGAAGTGGTGAACCTGAGTAGCCATTTCAACAAGAAAGGTGTGAGACATCACTACATCACCCAAACAGGCATAGCCCTTAGCAAGGCCCTTTGACACAGAAAATGAAGAGCAAGACTACCCCAGTGGGGTGGTAAAGGACCAAGGGGACCCTTTGCGTGGCCAAATAAGGGGACCGGGACCGGACGGTGGCCAAAGAGGAGACAAAGTTTGCAGGTCCAGAAGTTCCATCGTTCTGTTGGTAGCGCTCTTTTGTTGGTAAACAGGGCGGTCGACCTTCAAGTTGGACCATCCCTCACTAAAAAGGGACCGAAGGGTCCGTGCCTAGGGGTCCATGGCATGTACTGTGTGAAAGTTAGAGCATGATTCGTTCATCATCGACCGGCAGAGCTTCAAACTTCACACTTGACTTCCTCGATAGTCAGGTACTAGGTGGTTTGTACGGATTGTAACATGCACGGATCTCCCACTGGCCATTCCCCGTTTTTGTCCAAACAAAACCAGCAAACCTGACACTCTCAGCTTTCGAGTGTTAAATGCTGCCATAGGAGACTTCAAGCAACATTCACCAGGCGTATGCTTTGCGCGATTCATCTCTTTCCGTTTTGCCTGGGTGCGTTCCGTGTCTTGCGCCACCGAGGGCCGATGGAGTGATTTGTATCGCTTGGGGCCGTGGAGAGGGCCCAGGCTATGAGAGCTTAAGCTTGGCAGACTATGGCTGGAGGCCATAAGGCCGCGGCCGTGGCCGGGCCATCTCCCCACATTGATCAGCTGGAGAAATCGATCTCCGACGCACCCAGAATCAGTCCCAGCTGATACACGCAAACGAGTCCCAGTCGGCTGCGTTCTGGGATACGCTCGACTTTTGTGGCGTGTGTTGGAGCTGCAAGGTACTGCAGGTCAAGCTGTGGATTCATTGAAAGGCTATGAGACAAACAAATAGAGTGTAGGGGCCTAGCACTAACTAACCCTGCGCAGAAGAGTGTTGCTGATGCGGGCATAGTAGCAAATTCTTTGTCATCCTATGTAGCAACCGGCCAATGAACTTAACAGACAGTCCTTCTATCAATGTCTGTCACATGTATATAGATAGGGTCTGTCCCATTACCTGTAACGGTCAGTAAACAATTATCATCATTTTTGAACAAGGCCTTTACTAGCCATCATCATCCACTGTTACAGGTAATAGGATAGACCCAATATATAGATAGAATAGCCAGCGTTCCAAACCGTTGACATGTTTTCCGACGTTGGATTCTATCTATACCTGACAACAACCATTTACCTGCAGCCTACAGCAGCATTCAGACCGCGTGATAGCGAGGATAGTGAGGAGCCCTAGACTCCCAAACAGATCGACCATTTGCCCATGCCGACCCTTTCGTCAAGGACGATTTGAAGATGGACATCAGACTGTCGAGTCTACATGTTTTATCGACATCGACGTGGGGAGGCTCCGACGTCCCTTCCGGAGCTCGGCTCTAGTTGGTTGAACAAGGTTGAAGATTCTGGAACGATTTCTGCCAAGAAAATGGAATTGACACCGGATCTTGGGTCACTTGTTCCGGTGGGGGCCCCCACTCTTCCGAAAGAGCTTGGGTGTTTCCGGGGGTTTCGTGTTTTCTGACTCATCCGGATCTTCGAGGAACACGCTGCCGCTGCTTCCTCATGGGGTCTGAAGGTCAGCGCAGGGTCCCCTACCGTGACCCTGTCGTGATTGGGGATCTCGACAAGCTGATGGGGAGAGGGATGGAACAGACGAGAGGGTTTTCGGAACTTCAACGGTTTTGCAGGAACCACATGGAAAACACGTTCCTCGTACGTAGGTGGATGTTGTGGGTACTGGGATGTTCGGGGTTGGTGTTTTCAACAACACACCCCCAGAGGTTGTCGTGTGTGTCTGCGGTGAGTCAGCATGTCCACGGATCCATGGCCAAAAAGAATCCCATGTCATGTGCAGAGCCAGAGCTGCGGAAAGAAAGGTCTTCGGAAAAACACGGCCTGGAGGGCTTGCTTCCCTGAGATTTAATAGAAGGCGTTGAGCTCAGACAGATTGGCCAAGAGTTTTCCATGGCAAGGCCAAGGCTTACAGATCTTCGCATAAGACATAAGACACAAGCGATGAAAACCAGAATGTTGAGCATCAGTCTTGCTTCTTGTGGTCAGTTTTGCATTGCAGTTCATGATTCAACAATCTGCAAAGCATATGGCAGGTTCTTGAAATCAGAAATTGAAATCCCCGAACATCTTTCTTTTGCAAGGGCCAAGTCTGCCAAGATCTGTCTCATGCCTGGCTGATTAGCTTTTTGGCATCCTGATGGGCAGTCCAGCCCGTGTGCCCATCCAGTAAGTGGAGGCAGTGGTCAAAGTTCAAAGGGAGAACTTAATCATAGAGAACTCCAAGTCTTGATGAAACACCGACCCATTAGCCGCCCCTGCAAACAATCATACATCCTTTCCAAACTTTTCATCCCGATTCATCCGAGGCAACAACTGTGAAAGCCTTCTTTTTTTGGGCTTTCACATGGTTGACCTCTGTCGACCTGAGATCAACTCATCTCGAAGAGAAACATGTTCGAACCTTCAAAGATGCCACAAATCAGGTCGTTTCAGCCTGGTCAGTTCAACACGAACCCCTTGCGCTTCAAGCCTGGGGCGACCCCATCAGGTGCCATTTCCATCGCTTCTGTGATTCCTACGTCCTGTGGACCCTCAAGGCCTCCCAGGTGCCAACATCGCAGAAACAAGGCCCTCCCATCGTGGTGAGGGAGGCAACAGGGAAGGAGGGAGGCTGGCCTCGGCTGCACCGCATCTTTGTGAGTTCTGGATCCTTTGGGAGGAATGGAAGGGTCTGACTTCGGACCCAGATCCTGGGGTGGGCTTTTTTGGGGGCTGCCTGTTGATGTACCAAGGTCCTTTCCCCCGCGGCCTTCTCTCCGTCAGGGCCTTACTTGGCCTTACTTGAGCCTCCAGGCATCGCAACGCCGCTGTTCCGCTCGAAACGCCGTGGGCCAGGACTTGGAGGCGTTGGAACGTCCCCTGTGCATCCCGGAGAACGTGGACGGCCGACAGAAGCAGCCGTTCGCCCGAGATCCAGTTTGTTTTTTTTTGCCCTCTTCTAACCCGGTGGTGACCATGGAGCCCAGGCGTTGGAAGATCGGGTTTTGGACGCCTCGTTGGGGGCTTCGGCATCACCGAAAACCATTGGATCGGGTCGATGCCGGCGGAGGGGTCCTGGAGGGTCGATGCTGGCTGGTCCTGGACGTCGGTGGTGGTGACCGACCGGCCGACTGGACATGACTGGCCACCAAGAAACTGAAAAGCACTACCAGGAGATTACCAGGAGCAGCACTTTCTTCATGCATGGTGTATCTCAGAATCCCCAAGTGAAGGGGAGACATATGTCGATGAACATGATATATCACGATACTGTATGATTTTCTTGGGGAATTCTGTAAGAATTTAGTTTCTGGATGTTTTTGGAACGAGAGTGGCTTGCACATTTTCGTTTCAATGTCGAACTTGAGCTCTTCTGCGAGGGTCTGTTCATACTGTAGCCCGAAACCGACTCCCGACGCCAGACCCGAGCCCGGAGATCAACCGAAGACCAACTGGATATCAACCATTTCAATGGCTTCATGTTCAATTGAAGAATCTTGACAGACAATTCCTAGATCTCTGGCCATCAGATAACTCGACCCTTGGGGCGTGTCCGTGTCTAGTCAAGGACGACCACGTGGGCTGTAGTCAGTCCGTGTCGCGAATCGGCGTGCCACGACCCAATCAGGTTCGTCAGGTTCGCGACCAATCGAGCAGTTGACCCAGCCTGAGCCAGGGTGAGTTGGCTGTCTCCCCAAATACAGACCCGTATTATGCCATGCCGGATTCACTCCCTGAAATCATCAAACGGTGGTGGCTTCGCGGCGTGGGCGTGGCCTCGATGTCGGATGTCCTTTTTCAATCCGAGTACCAAACAGGTGGCGCCATCCATACCTGGATCTCCCAACTGCGACAAATTTATGCCTTTTCAACCATAGAAAAAGACACACCATAATTTTGTCATAGTTGGAAGCTCCAGGTATAACCACGGTGATTTCAGGGAGTGGAGCTCAACCTCGCCCAACGTGGAAGGTTCAGAAAGTGCAGACCACCATTGGACACCACCCTCGATCCTGAACACCAAGGCTCATCTACGACGCCACCTGGGCTGACCCGCAGAAGGAGACTCACGGCATGGATGAAGGGGGCGGCTGATAGGGGCGGCTGATAGGGGCGGCTGATAGGGAACGCGCATTTGGTGGACGCACAGGGTGCCATTCTCAGGAAACAAACCCCGGCGACTGCCAGCAATGCCGAAACAAAACCCGCTCTGAGTTCATGGACCACACATATATATGCTCTTCTTTTTTTTCATTGCGACCGCACAGGACCCAGTTGACCCGGTTGACCCAGTTGACTCCAACAAGCTGCTACTACTACTGCTGCTGCTGCTGCTGCTGCTGCTGCTACCACTGGCACTACCACACTTGCCATCACACAAAGTCAATCGGGTCAACTGGGCTCAACCGGGTCAACTGGCAACCGGGTCAACTGGGTCCACTACCACTAAGAGCACCACTACTAGGTATAACGGGAAGCAATCTGTGGGGCAAATGACCTTCCCCAAAATGACCCTTAAAAATGTCTGTATCTCCCAAGCGCACGCAGAAGATATGGACTTCTTGAACTTTCCCTTGCCCGCTTGCCAATTGCCCCAACTGCACCGCACCACTTGCCCAAATGTCTGTATCTCCTGCCGTCCTAGAAGATACGGACTTCACTCGCCCTCTCTCTCTTGCCCCACTCGCCCTACATGCCCCCGGAACCCTGCACATCCCAACAGTCACCTGGATCAATTGGGTTCAACCGGGGCCAACCAGGTCAACCGGGCCAGCTGGGTCAGGGCCTCCTGTGCATCTCCATCTCAGCAACCTCGTTTGGCAGTTCTTCTTCGCTCGGGGAGAACCCAGCGTGTTGAGCTGGTGGGTTGGTGTTGCCCTAGGAACGGCTTGGGCCCCAACGACCGTGGAGGTGAAGCGATCTCCTTCGGCCCAGCACCTCGGGCTGTGGGACGTGGGTCCCGGGTCCCTCGAAAGGCGAAAGGCTGAAAGCGGCGAGTGAGGAAGGGACTGGCCGGAAGAGTTCTCCCGTTGCGCACCGTGGTTTGGCACGGATTTTCACCAAGTCTTGGGGAGTCTAGGGGGGACGGTGGGTGGTTTTGGGTTTGAACAGATGCAGTGTTTGCCAAACAAATTGATAGAAGATGATAGAAGATATATAGTTGGGTGAAGATACCATCAAGAGACTACTTGGGATGTTACCTGGAATGCTTGTGGAATCTCCTTCAAGTAAAGTACGGGGATGAGATACCACAGGAAATGGTTTCAACTCCCAATTGGCGCCCCACATAGGTCACATGAATGCCTCATCCCTCATCTCTGGGTTCCAAACGCAACAATATGTACATTCCCTGGAACTAACATGGAAGTGGACAATGGCCTCTTGGAAGGCCCTTATATAAATCCTCTTAGGCCACAGGGTGTGAACTCCACTTCCATGTTAGTTCCAGGGAGAGTAGATCAATGATTTCATGTCCCTGGTTCTTCAAAGTGACCCTTTGAACACCCAGGAGGAAAAGGGACGTCGGGGGGCAGTTGCCATGCGGAAGCCACAGGTCTGTGGCGTGGCAAGGATTCCAAGTGCCGTTTTTTTGTGTGTTTTCGATGTTTTTTTTTACGAGCAGGTTTCATGAACTGTTTTCTTTTTTCGTGGATCGCTCATGTTCGAACGGAAGAATCTGAAGAGATTCCTACTTTGTTAGGGTGAAAACGCCACCAAAACCGCCATGTGTTTTTGGACTCCCCGTGGTTCTTTTTTGACCCAGGGTGGTAACCCACATGGTGTGGTCACTCTTCTGGGGTGACGTTCCTTTTGGAGGAGATGTACAGAAGTTTTGCCAGAGTTCTGGGGGAAGGTGGAACTTTAGCTTTCATGAACCAACGCCCTGTTGCCCAGGATTCCACTGTTGCCCACCCGAAATCGTGTTCACCCCCCGTGCTTGGGCTGCGCAGTGTTCTGCACGGGAACCACAGGATGTGACGCGTTCCGTCTTGAAGAGCTTTGGCCTCCAACTACTTCTGCGCTCGCATGAGCTGCCAGGCCGTGGCCACTGGAGCCGCAAGAAGATGCGAGTTGAATCTGCCAGTCAGGCGAGTTTCGCATCCATTTCCCCCTCCTTGAACCCAGGGTTTTGCGTGGAGCTTGGCGTGAAAGCGTCGTTCGCTTTCACATGCTGAGGGAGCGAAGAGTTCAAGGGTCGAGGCTTCGAGTGGCCGGTGAGCCTGGTGGGAGTGGGAGGGCGCCTGGTGGGAAGACTGGAAGGTCTTCGGGTCAATGGAGGTTTCAGTGCAAAAGAGTTGGATCAATCACCCGCAACTGTGGGGTCCCGTCAGTGCTTCAATGAAACGAACGGACCGTCACATGGCCACTTTGAAGAACCTAGTAGAGGTACGTCATGGTAAGCACTTCTATGCAGAGCAAATGCGCGAAAACAATCACAGTGCTTGTATCTCACTCGATTATGATGTCTTTTTATGTCTGTTTGTGCCAAAACAAGAGATCCGCTGATTCACAGGAACCATCAGGAACCGTAAACGCTGCAAAGATGACTCAGATGAACATCAGACCGATGAGGAAATGGTCCATCGCATCCACCTTCAATCGAAGGCTTTTTTTGCTTCGGGGTCAGTCTGCCTCCGCATCTGGAGCTCATGTCACCAGTCTTGCAAGCTGGAGCTCTTCCTGAACCACATGGCCTCCACATCCCCCCAAGCTGGCATTGGTCGGGTCGGGTCCGAGTGGACTTCGAACAAGGAATCGAAGCTGGTCGAGTGTCAGGGCTGTTGGACAAGTCAGGGCTTCGGCTGCGAGTTTGGTGCAAGGATGGTCCGGCATAGAGATTTGATACTAAGGTGTAGACTCTTGATACTATTTCAACCTCCCATTTGGATTGAACAACCTCTTCATATGGGGGCTTGGAAATATGTTGACATATCATCAAGAGTCTGCAGAAAGAGCGGAGGCTCAGAAGACATTTTCCCTTCGAGATCTCAGAAGCGAGCAACGCTCGCTCACTCTCGCTCGCTTCTCAGGTGGCATGCATGCGAGGATGAGATGGAGGTTTTACTGAAAGGCACAGTTGTGGAATGTCGCATGGGTCTGTCCGAGGACACTTGTATATATATATATATATAGCCGTCGGTAAAAGTAAGGTCTTATCACTGTTTTTGAACAAGGCCTGCAACCAGGCCCCATCATCCACACACGGGCCCTGGGATATACCCGTATACCCGAATTCGGACGGTGGATTGAACATGGTCTCCAAGAAAGATCCCGGAGCATTCTGCCTGATCAACTAACGCTTCTAGACAAGACAATCAGGCAGTTCGCCGGATTCGTCAGGCAAGGGTTGTATGTTTCTCGCTCACAGTAAGCACTTTTTGGACCCCAGCTTGCCCACAGCTGGCTGCAGTCCGGTCCAGCGACCTAGCTGCTCAGTCCAGAGCAGGTTTGGGCATGTAAATTATCAAGAGTCTGCATCATTGTTTGAACTGCATGCTGAGATTGGGGGCCAACCGAAAGCGCAATGCGTATGGTACACGAGAGGGGACAAAAGGGTTGATAAGGGCCCTGCACTTCTCAAAAGAGATGCCGTTTTGTACGTTTTCTTTCTCAGCACACAGGGCTTTGGGGTCTTTTTTCTCAAGATCATGCATCATGAACTACTGCTACCGCTTCTTCTTGTGGGTGCATTTGGATTGGTGAAGCATTAGAGCACTCTCCAAGCTCCCGAAAGCTCTGTCGGGGCCTCCGGTGCAGGTGCCAAAGGCTTATGCCTTTCCCTCTTCACAGCCAGCGACTATTGCGGGTGCTTGGAAGGAAACTCAGGTGCTCGGGTGATCTTCGATGGAGACTTGGACTGAACATCTCAACATTTGACCACATAATGTAGACTCTTGATTCATAATATGACCCTTTATGAAGAGGTTGTTCAATTACATTGGTTACCAGCAATTACTTTCTTCAAACTGACCTTTTTGGAAATCCCTAAGTGACCTTTTACAGGTCTGTTTGTGACCTCAAACCTGGGTATGAAAAGGCCATTTTGAAGAACCCCTTACTTGGGAGATCACATTGCTGTTCTTGAAGGGTGCTATATTTGTCCTTCCCCCCATATGTTTCGCAGCAAACTGTGCAGAAAACCCTGTTTCGCTTGCCGTGCTTCCACCGCCCATCATCGCCCAAAAACATCGCGCGCTTCCCGCGCTTCCATCGCCCGACCCACCGCAACAACGACGCCTCGTGCTTCCATCGCCCGACCCCACAGACCTCGAAACGGCTTGGCGATGGCTTCCACACTCCCAGGCGATGGCTTCCACATCGTTGAGCACCAGGGCTGGGAGGCGGACGGACGGTCGCGAGTGGCGGGCACGGTCCGCGGCTCCGTCGGTCCTTCGCTTGGCACTCGGGGCTCGGCGCGCCAAGCGCGGGGCTCCGCAGGGCTCCGTCGGTGGGTCACGACCCATCGCCCAGTTGCAACAGACATTTCGGTCACGACATGTTGAGGCCGGACGTTTGTCCTCTGGGTCCTTGAAGCTGGTTGTCCTGGTGGTCTTCCACCCCCAGTACACGAACGGAAACAATATATACAGTATTATACAGTAATATACACTCTGACGAACACATCACATGGAAGTGGAAAGTAACCCCTTGGAAGAATACTTTCCTTTACAAACAGGAGGTTTTCCACTTCTATGTGACGTGTTCGTCGGAGTGTAGTTACTAGGTCATCCAAGATGGAGTTCGGACCGACCCCATGTCTTTCGACTCTTCCTGGCGGTCACCCGGAGCTCAGCTCCACACCCTGGCAGGTCGAGACTCGAACGGAAAACACCGGGTCGGTCGGCCTGGTGCCACTGCCCAATCCCAGACACGACCTGAGGGGAGCTTCCTTCGGCGAGTCGCCCGTTGCCATCGGCCGGTCTTCCATCGTTGCCATCGGGTCTAGCAATAAAGCACCGGTGAGATTTTGGGGAGCCATCCTTTAGCTTGGTGGGGGTGGGGTATATAGATGACTGATCCGGTACCCCTGCGATCTGCTGGGATCTTCTAGAAACTTCCTGTAGAACATAGGTATCTGGAGGCCGAATATATGGCATCTACAGCGCATCGCACCACTTGTGTGCCAGGCCGAGCATGCCTTTCTACAGAGTCAGACCGAGAAGCCCTTTGACCCGGCAGAAGGCATGCTGCAGCTTGCCATGAATGGGTATGACACCGTTATATACCGTTATCACATTATAATTATAGCGGACAGTTTTCCTTCCGTCTCCTCCTTTCACGAGAGTTTTCACGGACGTCAATATCTGTACACACCAAAGGTTTGGGGAATGTTTGTTGTTCGGGCATGTAGGAATGTTCTCTCCCTCTCAAGCCACGCGAACCTGTCCAAGCTTCTTGGTCGAAACTTCTCGATTCCAAGAACTCAGTCGAAGCGCTTTGACCAAGGTTTGAGGGCCCACTGGAACGTGCCTGGGCCAAAAGGAAGTGAACAAACTGCGACAAGGGGAGTTCACTTTCGTTGACTGTTATATGACCGCCCTTATGAATAGGAGGGGTGTGAGTGGCCACCCAGTTGTTTGAGGCCGTGTTTTTTGCTCCACCATGTTCACCCGACCAGTCCACCATGAATCTGGCGCGTGCGCGCGAGACGACCGGTCCAGCAGCGGAGCGGTGGTGCTCGTGCCCATGGTCGGTCTCCGTCCGGTGCCAAGTTCCCCACACCCATTTGGGGGGCCCAAAGGTTCGCAGGTGCCAGAAGCACCAGTGGCGACCGCCCACCGCCGAGATTTCGGAGCCTCTTCCCGGCCGGTTTCGGCTGAAGATCGTTTAGACTCGTGGGCATTTTGGAAGACCAACGGATAATGTTGGTATCGGCAAAGATCGTTTTGGGGTCTGCGAACATGGGCGAACATGGGCGAACTGTCCACAAGTCTAGGAACCAAATCATTAGTGCGAGCGCTTCTTCAAGGAAGCTCCCCAGCCACCTTTAGGGCGGCGGGAGCTTCCTTGAAGAAACGTGAGCTATCCTGCATCCTAATACTATAAGCAATAGCTACTTGTAGCTACTAGCTTCTCCCTACTACTAGCTACCTCTCTAGCTACTACTAGCTACCTCTACGGCCTACCCCCCTTTAAAAACAGTGGAGTTTTTGGTCGTTTGCATTTGTTCTATTGTGTAACGATTGCCACCTCGGCACTTCACTTCGTGGGGAAAAGACCACAACCTGCCGAGGGAGTTGTTTGTGAAACAAAAACCGAGCAGAAGAGAAATCCGGTGAGAAAGATGGCCAGTTTCATTTGTTCAGAACGAATCGCTGGGCTTCTGCAGCACGGGTTGCGCAGACGACGTCTTCAATTCCCCTCTGATTCATGGGGGTTGCGCACTACCTCCCAAGAGTTCCACCCTCAGTTCCGCATGATCCTACATGATCTGCAAACCTCTGACTCGGTCAAGTCCGTTTGCGCCCCATCTCCAGATCCCGGAAACCCATCTGTCGCATCAAAACCGTGGTGCACTCTTCTGCTTCTGCCCAGAAACCACCCCGCTTCTGCCGCCACATCACCGAAACCGCCTCCGCCTTCTGCCTGTATTGGTGCGACGACTCAGGCAGTGTCATCGAGGCGGTGGTGGAGAGGAAGCACGAGCTTCTGGCGGAGTTCATGGCCTCGGATGCACCGAAGGCGCTGCATGCGCTCGGATGCCTCGCTGCTTTGTGCCATGACCCCTCGGTCGAGTTCATGGCCTTGGAGGGCGAGGTTGTTGGAAGGGATCTGTGAGTTGAACCTGCTGCTTGTGTGCTTCTGGGGGTGGCGAGTGGCGAGCCCAAGTCGACCAGTTCGTGGAATTGGTCTTCCCCTACGTACGCCCAGTGACGCAGTCAAACCTGGTCCTGAAAATCTGAAGTGAATGGTGTTTTTGTAGCATCAACTAGATCGTTCACTGATTCACTGACATAAGGTTCCAGTGTCTTTAGAGATGATGATGCCTCCTCCAGTAGTCACGTTCGACGGGGTGCCGAACTTGGAGGAAGGAGTTGGGTGCCCCTGTCACATCCACGGCCCCTGGATGGGACCAGCCAAACGCCCGCAGGCCCTCCATGTGACTCCCTTCAGGATTTTTGAAATGGCCTAGCGTAGATCAATGAAGATGCTCTTCAGATGAAGATCCAACATGATCCAACCAATCTCCTGCAGGACTGGTTGCTTCCCTTGGAGTCCTGGCAAGCCTGTTGCCACCGCGTGTTGCCTCAGATCCCGTGGCAGGACCACGGTTTTCACGTGTTCGCACGCCACGCACCACCCTCAGGGGATTGAAATTCGTGGCCACCCCGGAGGACGCTCTGGTTGTGGAGACGTGTTTCATCGTTGTTCCAGGATTTTCCCAGGAAAGCAGTGGTCATCCTGACTGTATCGAAACGGGGATGACCGTTTTCCGTCTGGTTTTGGAAGCATCCACTCGAAGCAGGAAAAAACCTGAAGAGGATAGCAAGAAGGGAAGGGACACCTGAAGAGCTGACCAAAGTGATCAAAAAGCAAGCTATAGCCGACCTGTGGAGAATTGAATTCCCAGTTGCTTCCAAACGTCCGGAGGATTAGAGTTCAGCCGACTAGCTCCACGCTTCAGTATTGCTAGTACCGTTCGGTTTACGGGATGTCAAGCTTCGACGAAAGACGGTCGGTCCAGCAGTCACAAGACGGGGTGCTATCCATGGAGGTAGTCGGGGTGCCCAGAACATCCACTCACTGGATGGGACTAAACACCACCCCGTCTTGTGACTGGGTGATTTTTCTTCTTGGTGGGGCCTTGAGCCAGAGAATATTTTCTTGTAGATGCTCTGCCATATAGCCTTGAAGCTGTGCTGCAGAGCTCGCCTTGGGATGCATGCCTGGTGACTGATGTGAAGTCCATATAGCGCTCTGAAGGGTGCGGAGGGTGGGCCAAGTTAGATAAGATTCTCGAGTGTCCGATGATAGGACTTGGTGAACAACAAGAGCATCGTACCGCTGAGGAGTGGCCAAGTGAGACTTGGCACAAGGTAGGAGGCGTCACCGAAAGTGATGAACACAAGCATTGGACAAGGCTCGAGCCGAGCTGTCACTCTTGTCTATGCGCTATTGAAGTTCCTACTACTTCACCCAATCCCTCGGCTTTCTGGACCAGGGTATCTGACTTCAAACTACATCCATTCCCCCCTGGCACCACGAGAAAGCGATCGTCGAGTGTCGATCGATGGATAAAGGAAAATGACTATATATACTTATATATTCGCTCCAAAAATATCCATTTACCATTGTTTTTGTTGGCACAAGTTCCCCCAAGTAAGGGGGTTTATACGGACCCCCATTTGTCTAAGACATCTTGGGATGCCAGTGCCATCGAACCTCCGAAACCACTGATTTTATTGCAGGGCAGAGATACCCTGCACGGAAGCATTCATGACACCTATTCTGGGCACAACGTCCAACCCAACCGAACATCCGTTTTGGGGGGATCAAGATCCCCTGGATACCGCAAAAAGTGGCTGTGGGTCGGAACCTGGAGCCCTAAACTAGTAGATTGACCGGGCTGGTCATCTATTCTGTTGATTGTCTATGGTCAACCGGTCGGTCCGGTCTTGACCCACAGCCGCAAATGGCACAGACCCCATCATACCCCCAATTCTTCCCCAGATAGCTATAGCTATAAGGGGGTTCCTTAATGGTTCTTACTTCTCAATGACTGGGTGCCTGTATTCCGTTGGGATTCTCAAGGTCTTGGGGTCGCCACCTTGCGCCCGTCGGGTCGCGCCCCCCCCCCCCCCGGATCCGAACCGAGTGCCCCGTGCCGGTCCGGTCCGCCGTGGGACCGACGCGGGAGAAGCGGAGGAACTACATGCTCTTCTTGACGCGATATCAGGCGGGTTCGCGGGGCGCTTGGGGCGGTTGGGGCGGTCCGGGAATCTGGGGCCGTGCAGGTCCGGACCTGTCACAGCGCGCAGGGTGCAGGGTGCAGCTAGAACAGTGCAGGGTGCAGGATGTTCGCCAGAATGTCACGGCCACCACACAATGGTCACGATGGTTCAGTGCTGAATGTCTTTACCCCAGCCAATTTTGTTGGGGGTTCCTTAGTCGAGGAACGAACTTTAATGTTGTATGGCCAAGGACGTCAGGGATTAGGATTAGTGCATGTAAGGTTTTTGGCTCCTTTGAAGGCTGGACAGCGGTGTGCTTGGCAACATGATTTCCGATGTTGACATTGACCCACTCGGGCGGACTGTGCTCTCAACTCTCAGGTCCGCTTCAGTCACAAGCAAGGCGCGCACCGTGGGCACGGGTCCGCTGCGACCCGCTTCTTTTTGGAGGTGTCTTTTTGTTTGGACTCCGCGACTGGAGAAGTGGGATTGCTTGGAAACTACAGACATTTTCGGAGATGGGGTTAAATTGGCGTGGGATTAGCCCAGACTTGTGTGATGGTCTTCCATGCCGAAAGAACCTCCGGGGTGGGATTAGATGAAAAAAGACCCAGCCTGTTGGAAGAATGCAACTCTCACAGGAATCCCCCCAAGTTTTAAGTGCAAAGAATCACATCAAGCAGCAGGACCTTTGATGGTACTGACCCTTTTAAAGTCTCATATTCAAGTGACTGACCTCTTTGAAGTCCTGGAAGCATTTCGTGATCTCTTTGAAGTCCTGGAAGTAAACATCAGGGGGCCAAAGATTTGGGTCTGACCTCAAAGAACCCCAAAATGGGGCTTTCGGCGACGGCCTCTCCAAAAGAAGGACCTAAAACCAAGCCGGACCAGTCGAGCGGAGCCGGAGACGAGTCGCTGAGAGCGAGTCGGTGAGAAACCAAGCCGGAGGAGTCGACCGGAGAGCCGGAGACGAGGCGCTGAGAGCGAGACGGTTGGCCCAAACCTTTCCACCACTTCGGTGAGAAAAAACCCCTTTCGCCGAGCTTGCCGGTTGCACGTCGCGCGGAGGCGGAGGCGGGAGCTTCACGTCCCATTCGCGGCCCTCCGCACGGTGGGGATCGCTCGCCGTCCCAAGTGAGGCCTCCACGCGAGCTTCCACCGGCGCATGGCCTCGCAGCTCTTCGCAGGCGGACGTCCGAGGGAGTCCTGTTTTGGCAAAACGCCAGCGATCGGGGCAGATCCTAAAGATGTTGCAGTCAAATTTGGACGAGGCCGAAAAGGCCTGGGTTCGTTCGATTGGTTGTGGCTGGGCTTTCTCTCAGCCACCCGTGGGGTGGCTGATCCAGGAGATGCTTTGGTTGTTGGGAGGTGCGATTGGTTTGCCACTGTACCAAGAGTTTCAAAGGGGTGCTATCCATGGAGGTTAGTGTTGCCGATGATCCACTCACTGGATGGGACTAAACACCACCCCTTTGTGACCTCTGGTAGAATCGCCTTCTTTGGTTTGAACTGCCTTCTTTGGATCAGTTCGAGTTTGAACTTGAACTTGTCATTCCAAGCTTCGGCAGCCAGTCATTTGCACAGTGGAAAGACTGGGTTTGGCCGAGGCGTGTAGTCCCAACCCCCTGCAATCTAGAGTTCAGAACTTGAACTAGATTCTGAACATGGAACTTGAACTGGATTCTGAACTAGATCTGCACTTGAACATATATACCCGGAAGGGTTTCATGGTTCTTCCGAGTTCTACACCTGTCGGTTGCGCCAGACCTGATGGCCCAGACCCTCCCCGACCGATCTACCGTCAAAGCAGAGAGCGTCCGTCACAAACTCTTCAGAGAGCTCGTCCCCATCCGGGCTCCTGTTCCCATCTCCTCAGCTTCGGTGCTTAGGCCGCGGCACCACCACCCACCCACCCCTGTCCCATCTTTGAAACGGCAGGCAGGGCCAGCCCTATAGGGATCAGTTGGTGACAAGACCCCACGGTTGCCTGACTTTGATCCTCACCATTCCTGAACCGCACAGCCCAAGGCCACCTACGATCGACTCAGACCGATTCGATTGCTGGATGGAATCATCCGTCCCGATGCCAATCTCCGCATCTGGAAACTGTTGACTTGTTTGACCCTGATATGTCAGGAGGTTCGGATTTTCCAGCATTTTCGGGGATTCCTCATCTCAAACCCTCCGAACTCACCTGACCACGGGTGGAGAACGTGGCTGGATCTTGGGAACAAACCGCGGCTTCGGTTTCCAGAACCAAACGAGCACCACGCCCACTGCCCGATGCGTGTTGGAGGCGTGTTGGAGGCGGATGCGACGCTCCGCGGCACTTTGGAGTTGCTGGACCCGATCCTTGGATCCGAGATAAGGACCCGGACGGACAAGAAGTAATGTAGACTCTTGATGAATCACTTCCCCTCCATTTCAAGAGAGAAATCCTTTTTCATCTGGGGGGAGGAACTGGGGAGAGACTTCGCATCTTTCTGGGGGAGAGCTTGGGTGCGAAACATGGAACATCCATGGATGTTTCAACAGCCACTTCCCAATGTAAAGGAGCTCAAGCTGGCACCATATTGTCTTAGTAGCTGCCTGAATGTGGGTGGATCAGACAAAGAAGGTATGAAACGAAGAGGTCACTAAAGGGCCTGAATGATATTGGAACAACCAGGAAGGGGCTATTGGGCGTCGAAGCTGATCGACCGGGGCCGATGGACGGTAAGAATCAGGTGATGCTTCCAGCATGGCTGGCGCAGTCGAGCCCGGGGGTTTGGTGAGCCCGGCGGGTTTGGTGAAACCCCAGGGGTTTCGACCTATCCACAAGCAGAATCATCCTCATGCAGATGGAATACGGACCGTTGCCACAGTCTACTCCCAAAGGAGCCTCTACGGATCATCGCTTTTGCTGTTTCTGAGACTGGCTGTGTCAACGTGAAGAAGTGACCTTTTGATGACCTGGTTTGAGGTCACTTAAGCCTCCTAAGGGTCACTTAGGAACCTTCAAAAGGTCACTTTGAAGAAGCTGGTTGATCGTTTCTGACGAGCGATTTCCTGATATCACTGATCTCCCAGAACCCAGACATGACCCTGGAACCTTTTGATAGGACATTTGACTCATCTTTGGGGTGTTTTGGCACTAAAATCCAGGGCACGACATGTCGCGACCAGGTTGAGTACATGAGAGATAGTACAGCAAGCAGCATCACATACTCATAGTACACGAGACATACAGTGGTTTCGGAGTATAGATGGTTCCACCCCCAAGATGTCTTAGACAGATGGGGGTCCATCTAAACCACCAAACTTGGAGACTGTGCCATCTACTCTGACAACGTCACGACGTCTCCAAGCTCCACGACGCCCTCCTCGCACGTGCTCCTCGCAGGGATGGTGATGGTCGTGTGAGCGCTCCCGAGTTCGCTGCAGCGCTGCAGCGCAGCGCCGGTGGCGTTCTGCCGACGCAGGCCTTAGCTCTGTACCGCACGGCGGCAGAACAAGGTGGGCAGGGAGGAGACAAACTGAGGGTGGCCCAGGGTGGAGGGAAGTTCTCAACAGAATCTCGAGGTACAAGATCGAAAGAATGGAATGGTGTTTTTGTTTGCCATGGTTTTGCAAGGGCCAGGGTGGGGAAATTTGTTGGAATGTCGATGTTCTTCGCCGTAGACCTGTACCAACTCCTTCAATCCACTTTTCTTGAGGAAAGAAGCCGTGGTCAACATGACCAATGCGTTAGGGTCATCGAGTGATAGAGTCATGGTTATGGCCGCACATACATGGCCCAAGCAGATAGAGTCGAGGAGCAGTTGAATATTGAACTTTGAGTGTGAGCATCAGCTTAGAACCATTGACTGCAAATCCCTTTCAATATATACCATGACCCGACTTCACAGGTCACCACCTGCGACTTTTAAGTCTACAAAAGCCTCCAGAGGAGACCTGTAGAGTCGGGTGCTGGTACTTGTTTTTCTATTTTCACCGTTTAGAAATCCCCGTGATGCTCCATATGGGGGGATATTTATACAGATTTATACATATTTACATTGGGTTTCTTGACACACAGCAAACTGAAGAAGACCAGCGCCTTGGAGAACCCTTGTGGATCACTCTCTCAAGAACCAAGGATGACAGGTGTCCAGGTGTATTCAACGTTCGTGTCCCTGTGGTCTGAGCCACTGGGTTTTGTTTTGACAGGTGGAAACATTCGGGTGGAAGACATCCTTGGCACGCTCTCGGTGCATTTCGCGCTCACCGAGCCGCGCGCCACCACGCCGGACACGGAATTCATTCCAGGTTTGCTGGATGAAGCCTGGAAGCAAGAGACAAACGAGTAGACCACATTGGACACAGAAAAGCGTGTCGGTGCTGGCAGACTTTTCTCTTGGGGGTTTAGTCAATCACCGAGATCGTACATAGTCTCTCCATCCCATTGAGCAGTGGTTGTATGGCCATAGGATAGGAGGCAAAATAACATGGGGTCTACCCTTGCAAGTAAAAGTTGACTGTTCTGTTCAACTTTGGCGGCGCTGATCTAGACCAAACGGACCCAAACAGATGGATCCCCGGCAAGTACACCGGATATCCCAGCATTTTTCGCCTGGTACCTTTGGCGTACACCATAGTGAGCTTGGAATCTAGAAACAAGACTGGAAGCGACTCAGATCGAAATTTCAGTTTATCTCCAAGTGAGAAACCAAAACCGCCGCAAGAACAGACGGTTTTGCAGATGGGGCACCTACCACCCTACTGTGGAAAGACCTTCGGAGTAGAAAAAGCTCATCCTGAGGCCCTGTGCCGGGAGGTTCTCTCCTCTGGACATGGCGCTGGTCCTGGAATCATGTGGGGGACTCAGGGAAAAAGAATGAACAAGATATGATTTGACTGGACCTTTGCGACCGGTGCGACTGAACTCCACCATCCTTCAGACAGATAGGTGGTTTTCACTCACTCCACATAACCATGATTTCAGAAAGTGCAAGGCCCAACCTATCACTTCTTTGAGCAAGGCCCTTACTATCATCTCTTCATGGTCATGGGAGTCATGGGATCTACCCCCCCAAATGGACCCGTCTTCTTCCGCGGCCCGACTTCCGGGCCCGACCTCCTTCCGCTCGGGCTCCCGTTGCCTCCTCGCTGCGCGGCAGGCTGCGTCGGTTCTTCGAGCGGGCGGACCGGAACGCGAACGGCGTCTCGGTGCATCGTCTCGGTGACGGTCCTCGGTCCTCCAAAAGGATTGGACCCTCTGGGGGTCACGGCATCGAAGGATGAGAAGCACCAAAGAGGCGAAAGAGCTTTTGATATCGATTCGAAAGCGAATGATTCTGTGGGGGGGGGATGTTTTCAGTGAAGGAGATGCGGTCAAAGTAACCTGAATAAGGTCCTCTTGATCAAAACGTATCAAAACCCTCCAAGATAAAGAACCCAAACAGCGTCTATGGGCATTCCATTTTGTTTTTGATCCAGAGCAACATGCATTTAAGACGTGTTTTTCCCCACCTGTCAGGTGAGGTTTGTTAGATACTATGTCAGCCCCATCTCCTTTTCCTCCTTCTTCTCCTCGTCCTTCTCCTCCTCGTCCTTCTCCTCCGCCGGACCTCAACCACGACCATCCACGCCCAGTGTTCCCTGCCGGACTTCAACCACGACCATCCACGCACAGTGTTCCCTGCCGGACCTCAACCACAAACACACAACCACAAACACACAACCACAAACACAACAACAAACACAACCACAAACACAACCACAAGCACACAACCACAGACACAACCACAAACACAACCACAAACACACAACAACAAACACACAACCACAAACACAACCACAAACACACAACAACAAGCACACAACCACAAGCACAACAACAAACACAACCACAAACACAACCACAAGCACACAACCACAAACACAACCACAAACACACAACAACAAACACACAACCACAAGCACACAACCACAAACACAACCACAAACACACAACAACAAACACACAACCACAAACACAACCACAAACACACAACAACAAGCACACAACCACAAGCACACAACCACAAACACAAAGCCACAGAGCGGTTGCAAACTGTGTCCTCATATTCGTCCTCGCTCCGATGCTCCGTTACTCCGCTCCGATCCGTAACAACAACAATAACAATAACAAGAAAAACCAGAACACGAACAAGAACAAGAACAACAACAACAAGAACAAATACAATAACAGGCGCAAGATCAACAACAAGAGCAAGAACAAGAACAATAACAACAATAACAAGCACAAGATCAACAACAATAACAAAAACAATCACAAGCGCAAGAACAATCACAAGCACAAGATCAACAACAAGAACAAGAACAGTAACAAGCACAAGGTCAACAACGAGAACAAGAACAAGAACAACACCAACAATAACAATAACAAGCACAAGCACAAGATCAACAACAAGAACAAGAACAAGAACAAACGCAAAATCAACAACAAGAACAAGAACAAGCGCAAGAACAACATTAACAACAGCAGCAACAACAACAAGAACTGATCGGTCCACATTATGTAAGGAAGATTAAGGAAGTATTTGCAGTTGCTGTAGTGATCCGATCTTCCACTCCGGTCGGTGGGCTCTCCGAGATGTCTTTTTCGTTTCGCCTGCTTTGTGAGAAACTCTCAAGGGCCACTGGGCTCCAGGGCACAGGATCTCTTGGATCCTCAAGGGAAGCTTCAGCTGCACGTCGGCTGCGTGGGACGGCGCTTTTTGTCAGATTCAGACTAGATGAACATATACGTATATATCATCATCATATAGAATCTGAAACTTCAGAATCTGCATCTGAAAGGCATACAAAGAGATAGATTGGAAAAGAAATGCTTATCCGCTATGATACATACTTACACATACGACGGTGGAACAAGACCCAGAGGGTTGTTCATTTCGATCCCATCCAAAATGGTCTAATTACGGTTCCATAGGGTTCGCGTGGGCGGAGCGCGGCTACGTGGGAATGCCACTAGATGTGGCCATGCTGGCATCTGGCACTGCTGCTTTGTGATGCTTGGGCTGAAGAGAGGGACCATGGGACATGGGATGTGAGGGCATACTGGCGTAGTGGCCATCAGCACCATGAAGAACAGATTTAACTATAGAATATTATTAGGTATTGCAAGTTTGGGTCCTATATGGTTCCCCAGGTCCTATATGGTTCCCATAACCTGGGGTACCCAAACTGCGATAGTCCAACGAATGGGTTCTTCAACCTCTGGTTCTCAGAGGGCGGCAGTGGATCCCACATGGTTTCAGAAAGTTCATCATCTTCATCCACTCAAAGGAGCGGGCGGAAGGATCGCACCATGCACCCCGCGGGTTGCACGCCCACCTGGAAAGGTGTGCAAGCACACCATTCCACACCTGTTGATGGAAGCCCGTATGTGTGAAATCCACCGCAATGAACTTATAATATTTGGATGAAATCGCGCACTGGTCCACATGGACCCCAAACTGTCCAAAGTTGGATCTCATGATGACGCACCGAGTGTGTGGCAATGCACTGGTCCTCGTCGGACTAGCTTGGACAAACAGGGCCGTAACTTGTCACGTACAAAGATACGTACCGACCCCGTACCCTTGTTTGAAACCCAAAACTTTATCGATCAATATTTTGTTGATTGAACACATACACTCCCCCAAAACAAATGGAAGTGGATGGCATGGCCCCTCAAATGATCTTAGTTGACCATCTTCCTCTACAAACAGGTGGTGAACTCCACTTCCATGATTGGATCAGGGAGCCAATTAACTCTCATTGAACCAATGCGGGAAAAACAACTATTTTTACACGATTACACCACACCAGCCGACCGTACGGACAAGTGAAAAGAGAACGGACTAGGGACTCATATATTAGGAGAAAAACAACATGGGCTTGCTGGAAGTCCGTGATGTCCATATCAGAAACAAGCCATGCCATTTGCCGCAGGGCCGCAGCCCCAGTCCGAACCCCTCTTCCTCGGCGCGGATGTCAGACATGTATGTACCGACCGTCCAGTGCCGGGGTCGCGGGCTCGCTAGAGGTACCCCTTGTATGGACTCCTCCTCACGCTGCTCACGCTCTCCCGCACTCAAGAGGCGAGTGGGCTTCGTCGCCACATCTCTCCTCTCCGCACGGTTTTTCCCCTCGTCGAAGTTCGAAGAAAAGCCACTCTAGGGATTGAAGAACCCATCCGTTCGATTATCCATGACTATCTCAACAAGGGGCACCCCGGTAGATGTGACGAGTTCGACCCGGTCGGCATCCATGCTGGGGGAGGCAGCGTCAACATGGACGCCATCGAGTCAGAATTACACCGGCACTCCTTTCGGCCGCCGTTCGGTGCCGAAAGGTTCGGGGCGGCGAGCGAACGCAGGTGTGGAACTGGAAGGATCCACGGTTTCTTTTTGGTGGAAAAATGATCCGTGGAGTGGATCCCAGGTGGAGGTGCTGCAAGGTTCGTGCAAGTGCACAGTGCAAGTGCACATGTGCAAGTGTATATGTGCAAACCAGCGCAAACCTTTTTTTCCAAGAAGTTTCAGAGTTGACGAGTGATTGTAGAGCAGAATCTTTGTAGAGCAGAGTAGACTCAGTAGTATCCAACTCCATAGATTAACAATATATATAATCTATCTCGATATCAGTGAACATGGTTTCTATCTCGAACGAAAGGGGGGCGGAGGAAGGTGAAGGGGTTTGTGGGGCCCATGATCCAGAAGATCCACGACCGGTTTCTCCAACTTCCTAAATCGCATAAGTCCCTCCAAAATCCTTCTCTTACTTCCAAATCCCCCAAATCCCTCTCGGGTAGGAAGGGTTGGACTGCACCACCACAAGCCGGCTCCAGATGAATGCAATGAAAACCCAGGAAGTTGTAGCAGCTTTCAACATGGACCAACGACACTTTGCCAGACTAATGGCATAAAACCGCCTAACTATTTAGCCAGTCATTTTGCAAACCTGTTGCTGGACCTGCTTCCAAATTATCAGGACTAAATGGCATGTCAAACGCGACACGCGGTTTAGAAGCTGAGACATTTTCTGATTACAATAGCTTAGAGTAGTCGGCATATTTCACCATTTTTTCACTTTGCGCCGGATATGGTGGGGCGCGGTGATATTGCGTTGGCAGAAGACGCGCTGAACACCTTGTTGCTCTATCTGGATTGCTACCAGCGCGACCGCCCGCCGCTGGCGCGACTCGCGTGGCAGGCACAGTTCTTGAAATCAGTTGGAGGGACCGGGTTTCCTTCATCGTATCGACGAGGTCGCGTTTGTTCACACCTGTTTTCTCCAGGGCAGGTGCGGGGGGTAACTATGGACTACGTTTGATAATGGCATTTCAACCGTGGGATATAGTGGTATCAAGTTACGTGATCGGATGTCAAGATTTGCACGAGTGACACTTTACAAAGCGTGCATCCGAGACGGTGATATGTTGGTATGCAAATCTTGCAAGAACCTTGAACCTGGCGAAGCGAGACGAATTGATACAGGGTGCCTCAATGTTGAGTAATTACATCTAGACTGCAATCAGATGGAAGCAGCTCACATGGTTTTCACACGATATATTTGTCCACATGGTGCAACACGCCAGAGTCGCTACGGGAGGTGGCGAACCAGGTCAGTGGCCAGGAAGCGCTCAGTGTCTTCTTCGTGCTGGACTTTCTCTACCGAGATTTTCCAAAAGATGTATCACTGGCTGTGGTAACTTGGATACACTTGGGTGAATCGCACTTTGCGCGCCACACGTAGGTGTGTACGGCAAGATTCTAAGAAGACGCGCAGTGTCTTCCTCCTGCGTCCTCCTTTCCATTTCGTTCCATCTCGTTTTAAGGGCATGGTCTTCTTTGGATTATTTTGCCAAATGCATCGTGTCTAAAGAAGGTGTTACCGGCAGATAGCACAGCATCGTACTGAGGCAGTGCTTGCAGCTTACTGCGTCTATCGCACCGGTGCAGCGAAGTTAGCCACTAGGCGAGAGTGATTACTCATGGGCTTCACGCGCGGCTAGAAGCGCCCCTAACCGTATCGATGAAAACCAATACCGGGTTTGGTATGTCATTTTGTATTTGAGACTCGTGGGTGACATGCACTATGTTGCATTACAGTTTGACGCCCGCTATGCTGCCATTGCTTGGCTTAGGTCAAGAAGTCGGGCCACATCGC